AAACAACACAATCCGTACTGAGCTGTTTGCTACAGTAGCAGAATGTAAACAGGAGGAGAAACGGAAACTTAACTTGCACAACGCCGTCGTCGTTGGTTAGTGTTAGCGCCACCAGCTGGACTGAGCGTTGTACTACAGCACAGCTGCTCTGGCACAGTTGAAAGAACAAGCCCTTATGACCGCGGGCTGTGACCGCGGGCTGTGCTTCACGTGGCGACGATCTGGGCCACTTGGCCTGGTTCATTTGTAAAAACCTATGTGGCCGTGCCCTAATTTTAACAAACAGTAAATGGTTGCCTTACCTTTTTTAAGTTTAGGGTATTGAATTTCTTGATTGCTGCTATTTAAAAAGATTAACAAAGCAGTACATACAGTTTTAGATTTACTTGACAATAAGTTCATTAAAGCATTTAATTTCACTGATTCAAAACTGTTATTGTATAAAAAATACATGTTTTTATTATTTGTAAATAAAAGTAATGTCTCACAGTAATCTAATGTTTTAATTGCTGAGAAATTATATTTTTTAACCAACTTATTGTCAAGTAAATTGTAACATGTATATATTGCTTACTTAATCTTTTTAACTTATGGAGTTTATGGTATCAAATGATTTGATACCATAAACTTTTAAAAGTACAAATTAAAGGTACAGCACCTTTAATTAATCTAATTTATGAAAGTTTGACATGAAAGTCATGGGTACAAGTTGTTTGACACGGCTGCAGTTCAGTGGTTGGTGATGATCGACCTGAAGGAAAAGTGAAGCTGGTGTTAAATATTATAAAAGGTCAAAAATGATCTATTATTCAAGTCTACTTCTACTACTTCCTTTCCAGTCTGGTTTTAATTTAGTAAAAGAGCAAAGGAGCAGAGACGGAGGGAAAAGATCTCCATTACTGCTCAGTCTGTGTCCCTTCTCCCACCTCTGGTCACGAGGGAGCAGCGTCTTCAGTCAGAGCTCTACGACCTGTCTCTCCTCTCGTTATGAGCTTTGGGTAATGACCAAAAGGACAAGATTGTGGATACAAGCTGTCTACACCTTTAACGGAAGAGACCGGGGAGAGGAGGAGAGAGGGACCAGAGCGAGACTAGAAAGAGGAGGAGATAGAGAGACCAGAGAGAGACTAGAAAGAGGAGGAGATAGAGAGACCAGAGAGAGACTAGAAAGAGGAGGAGAGAGAGAGACCAGAGAGAGACTAAGAAGAGGAGGAGAGAGAGAGACCAGAGAGAGACCTAAGAGAGAGACTAGAAAGAGGAGAGAGGGATACTAGAGAAAAAGAGACTAGAGAGCGTCTAAAGAAAGAAGGGGGGAGAGACACCAGAACGAGTCCAAAGAGAAACACGAGAGATATTAAAGAGGTAGAAAGAGAACAAAGAGATAGACCAGAAAGAAAATAGAGAGACCAGAGAGATGGAGACAGGAGGAGAGAGAGACTAGAGAGATAGAAAAAGACCAGAACGAGACTAGAGAGAGGGAGAGAGACCAGAGGGATAGAATGAGACCAGAGAGAGACTGGAGAGAGAACGAAGAAAGACCAGAGAGAGACCAAAGAGGGAGATTAGAGAAAGACCAGCGAGAGACAAGGGAGAGTCCGGCTCAATAACAGACGTGAACAATATCACCTCTGTTCCCAGACACAAAAAAGTGAAAAATGTCATTTGTGTGTAGCTCGACCGCTCCAAACTCCTCTACACTTCTATGAAAGCTTCTCTTGTGGAAAGTCAACAAAGATAATGACTTGGATTAAATCTTTAAATCACACAGTGACGGTGTAATCAACACGTACAGGTTTTAAAATCCTGCACACAGATTATCAGACGTGTTTGCTGCCTTCACACGGTGATTAGAAGCAAAGCTATCTCTGCACATGGAGAAGGCCTGACATGGCCTGCAGAGCCACATTAGCATGTTTATTAGCCACAGTGAGAGCGTCTGCTTATGTGAGTGGCGTGATGAGAGGAGACGCCACAGGTCAAAGCAAGGAGACCCAGACTGACTGCTGCAGCCTGAAGGAACTGATCCCAGAAGCAGAAGCACAACATGGCCGACGAGAAGAGTGTGCGTGTTCGGATTATAAAGCAATAGTTATTTTCAAATTGCCAAACTAAAAAACATAGTTAAATAGCCTCTTTAGCGTCTCCATTAATAGCCGTCACTGTCTGCGGCTGAAAACACTGTATCCTTTTCAGCTGTGATAACACATGCTCTCATCCATCTCTGTGAAGGAATAAAATAAACAGCCTCAGTCTCGCAGCCGTCGTTAGCACCGTGCATCTCATACATGACATTCAGCAGCAGCAGAACCATCAGTCACTGGGAGAAGCCCATCCAACTCTTTGCGTCTATGAATGTGTTAAATCATGTGTGTCGTTATCCTGCTGACCCTGTAGACACATCAACAGCAGTGGTAATGTGGAATATTAAGTTACGCATCAGTCACTTTATCTTTTGACTCTTTCCATTACGCTGCTAATGCATGTACAGAAGTCTGGCAAG